ATATATATATATATATATATATATATATTTATATATATATATATATTCATATATATATACTCAAATATACACAGACATCCAAATGCCTGCGCTTATCAGCACACACACAGAGAATACACACACATACAGATGAAACTATAGACGCACAGATTGCAGATAATCCATCAATCCATTCATGTTTTTGGAGAGGATGGTGACTGTAAAAAGAGTATATAGAGTAGAAAAAGTTTTTAAAAAATATAACATTAAGAAATAATGCCATAGTAGACAGCTGGTAGACATGCGCAGAGATGGCCTCTGTTCTAATAAATCCGCCTAGAAATGAATGGTATAACCTTTCAGGCCTTGTTTTGAGAGGGTGTGGCCAAACACCACAGTGCATGCTAGAATGGTAGACCCTTATAGATAATCTATGGCTAGACCTCTCCTCGCCTTCTTCTTATTTCACCCCGTCTTACCTCTCTTTCTCTCTCTCTCTCTCTCTCTCTCTCTCTCTCTCTCATTTCCTGCTGTATTCCCACCTTGCCTGCTGTTGTGTTCTCCATGCCAATCTCAGTCTTTCATTCCTCTTTTATTTTTTTGTAGCCTAGTTTTTATTTTGTTTGTGTTACAAACGTGCATGCACAAGCATCACTAAATTGTTGATGTTTTTAAAAGAATATTTTGTTGCTGAGGCCATGCAAAGTGTTTTGAATATTGCCCTTATATGTGGAAAATGTCTTCTGAATGCTTTACATAATTTCTGCTGTAAAATGAAATCAGAATAAAAAGAAAATTTGCACTTTAACTTGTTTTTTTCGCCTGATATTTATTTATTATGTGTTTTTTTTAAGGGGAAGATGTAAGTATCTTTTACTGCTTTTCTTATTTCATATTCTCAACACAAATCGATGTCCATTGTATTTCTTCCCCTCCTGACTCCTCTCTGATATTTTGAAACATGTCCTTTCATTTCTATATTGGCTATGTAAGGTTTAAGCTCCTTGCTGACTAAAATATGTGCAGGTTGATGGAAACAATCTTTAAGTGTGCTTTGTCCAGTCGTTTTTAGGTTTCAGTTGGTCTTCAGATTTGTCCCAGGATGTGTGGAACATCTTGGTCCTACTGGAAAATTACTGGTATTTTCTACATTACGTCACAATGTATTTTTACCGTAAACTTGTTGTTTCCCTTTTTCCTGGATGTGTAAAAAAAAGTATCCAGAATGCCCCGCGACCTAATCTTTCGACAACCGGTAAATCTTATAACAGTTGAGATTAAAATTGTACCACCACTAAAACCGCCTTAGTTGTTGATCTTGTAAGAAACGCATCTATGTGCATCGCCTGCCAAATTCACGGTAATTACGGTAGTGTACCGGAAATGACGTACGAATCGCAGCTGATATAAGGACGTGGTTTTTCCGGTGAAAAGTGGATTTGCTGCTTCAGGACAGGCGGTTTTAGAGTATAATTTATTATGTTTTAATCAACAAATGTACATATTTTTTAGCACTAGATGTTTTAAGTTCAGTAATACAATGAAACGTGTGTTTTTTTTCTGAAAACTCGACACTGTAACGCCTTCCCCTGCTGCCTAGCTCTCCATCGATTGAAGAAACAATGCAGGCCTAGCTAGCATCTGAAGCTAACAGGATAACGCTGCTCCGGCACACTGCAGTGGGATTTAAACCTTGGACGAAGCCCAGTTCTCCGACGCTGTAATAACATCCAAACCGGTATGTAACAACGGTTTCTGAAATAAATGTTGATATCTCATCCAATCTATGTCATTCAACCTAACTTTATGTTGTTCGTTAAGCCACTAATCCATCTAACACCATATTTTCATGAAGTTAAGCGTTAGCTTGTTAGCTTTAGCGAGTTAAGTAATGTTTCCTTGTTGATTCGTATAATGGGGTTACCGGTGTTGATGGCCAGCAAAGCGATGATCAACACAATAAATGTTCGTGTTGTGTCACATTAGAACAGAGTAACGTTGTCGATCACAGCTTGACTTCCACTGTGGTCCATACCGTTTGTCCTCTGTCTCCAACCATGTACACAGCACTCTTTTGCATTTTCAGTTGCGTCGAAACCTACATTTGCTTTACTTGCTCCTAACAACAAAGTGTAGCTCAACCGGGAATCGGACACATCACATACAGGCCCACCTGGTATTTAGATCCCAGCTTGTCATTGCATAGAAATACTGTTTGTGCAGCTTCAATTATAGAGTTAAGTTATGACATACACATTTTTTGAAAGGTTTGTGTTGCTTGCATGATTTACTTTGAAATTCAACATATGTAGGATAAATTAATGTGACATAGCTTCATAGAATCAAGAGGTGTCTTAGAAATACAGAGAAGCGATGTATAAACAATAGGATCTTGATAGAAAGTGCTCATGCATAACCCTCACATGTGACTCGATGTGCTCCATTTTGTCCTTTTGCTTTTATTTAAAGTATACATGCTCCACTTTAGGAAATGTTTTTTGTCTGTACTGCAAATTACACATCCTATATGACATTCAATGATGGAACCCAGATGCTCGTGGTGTCTCCTTATAATTGTAGTATAAATAGTTTATAATAATAATTTGCGGTCAGGGACCCAGTCCTTCAGATAATACCTCTACAGTCTCTAAAAATATAACGTTTTGATGGAAAACAGACTGTACGTTTATGGCCTTGGGTTTGATGGCTCATTTCCAGTTTTGTTGATTTCAAGTTATTGGATTTTACACTAAGTTGCCAGTTTATTAGGGACAGCTAACTGAACCTATTGTAGTCTAATACAACAACCTTGCTATTAAACCTACCTTCATTAAGGTAAATGTTCAGTTTAAGGCTGTCTGCAGTGAACTACAGTATTTTCATCATCAGTTAAAGTGCTGATTTAATTGATAAATACATTGTTTAGTTTTAAATGTTAAATGCTGCCGATCACAATTCCTCCGAGCCTTTTAGACTTCTTGAAATGACTTGTTTTGTCCCCAAAACATGTTATCATTGCTTCAAATATAACAAGGAAAAGTAGTAAATCCTCACATCTGAGCTGAAGCCAGAGAATGTTTGGCAGTTTTGCTTGTTTTTGTTTTTGTTGAAACTGTGTTGCAGTGGTGTTCAACTTCAGTCATTTTGGAGTCTGTAGTTCGAGGGTGCTGTTAATGTGTATGGCATGATATTGGGACCTGTTTGTAACATTTAGTCACTGATATTTGGGCTGGACTGTTGTATTGGACTGCATTCATTTTAGCCAAGTATACCAAATACATGCTGCATATTATGTAACGCTGCAGTATAGCAACACAAATTGTAACGTTGTAATAGCTTTGTTTTTAAGAAGTTGATTTAGGTTCCTGGCTATGTATCCGTATCTAATCCCTGATCCTCATCAATCTCTTTTCAGCTATGAGCTCTCAGCTGCAGGTCTTCTCTCCTCCCTCCATCTCCTCCAGTGCCTTTTGCCGCGTTAAGAAGGTGAAGGTGGAGAGCAATGTTTGGGACGTGTCCACCACCGAAGCTTACAGCTCCATAGCGGGCCAGTCGGCATACACCTTTGCCCCGGCCATGGCCGTGGCACCCTTTGCCCCATCCCTGGTCTTCCCCCCGGCAGCACCCGGCTCTAGGGGTCAAGTGGTGGTGCGGGCAGCCGACAGCACTGGCAGTCTTCCCCGTGGATCCAGCCGACGTGTGGCGGAGCAGGCGACGTCTTCCTCTTACGCTCATACCGAGACGTCCTCTGAAATGAGGGGCCACAGGCACGGGCAGAAGAGGAAGATTGAGGAAACCAATGAAGGCAGTGGGAGTGGATGTGGCAGCGTCCAAATATTGGAGGAGCTCTCGGCCCCTGCAGCAACTTACTCCACCCGTACTGGTGGTGGTGGTGGAGGAGGCACGGGCCAGTCGATACCCCACTCGGCTCCAACCACCAAGAGCAGCAGCTCCAATGGTGAAGGGGATTATCAGCTGGTGCAGCACGAGATCCTCTGCTCCGTGTCCTGCAGCTATGAAGTGCTGGAGTTTCTAGGAAGAGGCACGTTTGGACAAGTGGCCAAGTGCTGGAAGAGGGGCACCAATGAGATCGTGGCTATCAAGATCCTGAAAAACCATCCATCGTACGCCCGTCAGGGCCAGATCGAGGTAATTAAGCATCATTTTGTTGATAACATATTTGTGTGTCTGTTTTGATAAAACAGCTACATGGACAGTGGTTTAGCACTGCATCTATCTATTATTTATCCAACTGTTCTATTGACTACTTGACTAATTAGATTAAAAAATATATTTTTCTTTACTAAATAATTAACTAATTGGTTCCCTTTTTAGAAAAATCTAAATTTTCAACAATAATATCTGTCAGAACTAAACCTATTTAAGTGCATTATTATTATTATTATTATTATTATTATTATCATTATTATTATGTTATCCTTGTTATTTTAATCTATGGTGGTTATTTACATAAAACCACACAATTCAAATGTTTACGAAATAAATATGTTTCTCGTTAAATATTTCATTTGATTATGAAAAAAATCTTGACATTACAAGTTTTATTGATGCATTATAAGCTGCTATAAAAAACTACTATAATGTAACTCAATGCAGCAGTACTGTGCTTCCCACTTGCTGCTCCTTCCACTTACCACTTATTGTATTCATATTAGTTTGTTTCTGCACTGTACTTATGCTCTGGTTTATGCTCTTAGATGCTTGTTTATAAAAGGAGATGCACTTATGACTTCTGGTGACTAGTAGTTCTCTTGAATACTTATGTTGAATACACTTATCGTAAGTCGCTTTGGATAAAAGCTAAATGACTGTAATGTAATGCTGACCGCTAACATGAAATCTCCTCCTGCCAATTTCAACACCGATTTGTTGTTCGATTCAATTCAAAGCTGATTTGTTAGCACTGCTCTCCGCTGTGTCAGAAGGTACAAGGTATAAAACTGTGATCATAGTAGTGTGCAAGGGTAAAAGTAGATTGAAGTTCTTGCCGGTGTTGTAATGTATTGAATACAATTTCCCCATTGACATGCGCACCTAAAACCTAAAGAAACATTTGACATAATGTATAGCAAATTACTTATTGAAATGGCATTAGTGGATGTGTTTTCTTGTTTGAAATGCGATCTTGACGGGTTTGTCACGCAAAACCGGCACTGAATCGTTTAGTGCTGCGGAGTACCGGGCTCAACCGGCTTACTCTCACCCCCCTTGGTGTGTTTCCATGAGTTCCACTTCACCTGCAGATGCATCACAGATGCTACAAAGGTTTTGTGTTTTTCTTTACAGGTGGGCATCCTGAACCGGCTGAGTGCAGAGAACGCGGACGAGTACAACTTTGTGCGTTCGTACGAATGCTTCCAGCACAAGGGTCACACCTGCCTGGTGTTTGAGATGCTGGAGCAGAACCTGTACGACTTCCTCAAGCACAGCAAGTTCAGCCCGCTTCCCTTAAGGCACATCAGACCCATCCTACAGCAGGTTGGCAAACGATTTGGAAGACATTTAATAAAACCTGTCATATTATTACTTTAATGTTGTTATTGTTGTGATGAAGTAGTAGCGTTTCTGATGGATATTTGCGTGTTTTGTGTCTTTAGGTGGCTACAGCGCTGATGAAACTGAAGAGCCTTGGTCTGATTCATGCAGACCTGAAGCCAGAGAACATCATGCTGGTCGACCCCCTTAGACAGCCCTACAGGGTAAAGGTCATCGACTTTGGCTCGGCAAGCCATGTGTCCAAAGCCGTCTGCTCAACCTACTTACAGTCTCGCTACTACAGGTAACATCCAGCTGCGTTTGGTTCATTTAAACACGTTTTTTTTTTGTACCCCTTTGAGGATAAGTGGTGACAAATAAGCCAAGTCACTGTGACAAAACGTTGTAGTTTAGTTCAGTTTTCCTTGGTACTCACCCTCTTTTTTGCTGTCTAGGGCTCCAGAGATCATTTTGGGTTTGCCGTTCTGTGAGGCCATTGACATGTGGTCTTTAGGCTGTGTGATTGCTGAGCTGTTTCTGGGCTGGCCTCTCTACCCTGGAGCCTCCGAGTACGACCAGGTCAGTACTGACGTCACTGTTTCCCCAGGACTGGGAGAAAAAAAATGCTCAAAAAGCTACCTGATGAGATGGAACAGAGGCCACAACTTGTTAGTTATTAATGAAAGGACTGTAGGTGATCTGTGTTGAGAGCTGCTAGTTTCGTCAAAAGCCAAGAGATCCCAAAGTGCTGCAGGTGAACAAGTATAAACTGTAAGGCTATTGCAGGCAGTCACGTTTGAGTCATGTCCACTGACTGTTTTGTCTCACTCTGATTCTTCACCCTGAATGCTGTTTTGTTGTTTCCAGATCCGTTACATCTCCCAGACTCAAGGCTTGCCTGCAGAGTATTTGCTGAGCGCCGGAACTAAAACCAGTCGCTTCTTCAATCGAGGGCCTGACTCCAGCTACCCTCTCTGGAGGCTTAAGGTTAATAGAACCTCATATATCAGAAAATGACTGAATATGTTTAAACATAAAGTCGTCTTGTCGTACCTATGACGTTTATAAGAAATAGTTTTTAACACGTATTGAATCAGAAATGGTTTATTCTTTCCAGACCCCATCAGAGCATGAGATGGAGATGGGCATCAAGTCCAAGGAGGCGAGGAAGTATATCTTCAACTGTCTGGATGACATGATGCAGGTAGATGGCTTTCACAAATATCCTCCAAATAAATCGTTTTTACTCTCTGCACAAATACTACACACACACTCACACAAACCCAAGAAACCACCTCACCTATACCTTATATTGTTTATTACACATCTATTTCATTATGTGTTCCAGGTCAACCTGTCTTCTCATTTGGAGGGGACCGACATGCTGGCGGAGAAAGCCGATAGACGAGAGTTCATAGACCTCTTGAAGCGGATGCTCCGTCTGGATGCCGACAAAAGGATCACGCCTACAAAAACTCTGGGTCACCCCTTCGTCACAATGAGCCACCTCATGGATTATCCCCACAGCTCACAGTAAGTGAGCGATGTGAAGATGTTTTTATTAGGCGCTGCTGCACTTTGTTAGGGGAGGATCTTTATTTAAATGTAGTCGCTGAAACACTGTTACTCCATTCTCTCCAGTGTGAAGTCCTGCTTCCAGAACATGGAGATCTGTAAGCGCCGGAGCTCCTACGATAGTAGCAAATCCCTGTACTCCACCAGCGCAGTGCCCAGTGCTGCGGCGGGCAACCTCACCGTTACCTTCAGTAGCCAACTCAACCAGCATAACCAGGTATGACCCGTCGATTCGCTAATTCTCAGACATGGTTTTCGGGGACGTGCAGCTCCCGTGGTGTTAACCGGTGGTGTTCTAAATGTCTCCAACAGGTGCCTTCTGCGGGGGGAGCGGTGCCTTTGCTGAACTACCAGCCGGCTCTGTACCAGCAGGCGACTATCAACATTCCCGGGCTCACTCAACAGAGCGTCCCGATTCCAACGCGTGCTGCTGGGCTGTGTAGCCAGACAGAACCCTTCCAGCAGACTCTCATCGTCTGCCCGCCCTCCACTATTCAAGGTAAAAGGATACGGTCGCAATCAAACTGGGGGAAAAAAGGCCAAAACGACGCAAGGGTCTGCGGCAGTGTTTTCATCAGTATTTTGGTGTTACTCATTGATGCGCTGAATTTTTTTCCAGGGCTACAGACATCCAGTAAGAGTTCCAGTTTCCCTGTGAGGATGGAGAACTCTGTACCCATAGTACCTCAGAACCCGTCTGCTCAGTCGTTGCAGATCCAGCCTAGTATGCTCACACAGGTAAGAGCTCGTAAGGTGTGCTGGGTGTTTCGTCAGGTGTGTGTGTGTGTGTGTGTGTGTGGGAGCTGTTTACTGTGGTCTGTAGTGAAGAGACACTGCGCTTGTATTGTCTCTGGCACACTTGAGTTTCTTTGCCAAGATGGACAAAGAACATGTATATATATGTATGTATGTATATATATATGTATATATATATATGTGTGTATGTGTATATATATATATATATATATGTGTATATATATATATATATATA